AGACGTGCAAATGATGTCGACTCGGGCGCGCGTACTGGTGAGAACAAGGAGGACGGGGACAGGAGAATGGGGGATGAGGCGGAGGATCGGGGGGCAGGGGGGGGGGGAGGGGGGGGGGCGAATCATCAAGGATGACGAGGTGAAGCGGACCAGGAACAAGAGGAGGGGGACGAGGAGGAGGGGGGCGAGAAGAGGGTGGAGGAGGACGAGGAGGGGGGGACATTGAGATGAGGCTCGCTATGTGTACAGCGATTTCGCGGCACGCCTTTCGGGGACCTCAGGGAAACAGTTTTGAAGCCACCGGGGGGCCGAGGTGGACAAGGGCGGTGAGGAGGAAGAGGAGAGGGTCGCGGAGGAAATGAAAGATGGGGGGGAAAAGAATCGACGAGGATGAGGATGAGGCGAGGGAGGAAGAGGAAAAATGGGCGAGGAGGAGATGGAGGAGGAGGAGGAGAGGGAGGGGGAAGAGGAGGTGGACACCCTGAAGTGCGGCTTGTGCGGTGATCGCTTGCGAAGTGCGGCTTGGAGGCAGTTTCAAAGCCTTTTGGGGGCAGTTTGGGGGCCGTTTGGGGGCCTCTTGGGGGCCTCTTGGGGCCTCTTGGTAGCGTCTTGGGGGCTTCTTGGGGCCTCTTGGGGCCTTCTGGGGCCGTCTTGGGGCGGAAGGCTCGGATTGTCGGTTCAATCTCCCCCTCTTGGAGCTGTCTTGGGGCCCTCTTGGGCCGTCTGTGGGGCCTCTTGGGCTGTCTTGGCGCCCTCTTGGGCCGACTTGGGCACCTCGTGGGGGTCTCTTGGGCCGTCTCGGGGCGGTCTTGGGGTGCTCGTGGACCGTTTTCAACGTCGTGAGGGCGGACCAGTCGCATATGATCATAATGTTCGTTTTCCCATTGGAATTTGACGATTTTCGATTCTTCGGCCCATCTGAGGACTGCTCTTGGAGGCCTCTTGGGCCGTCTTGGAGGCCTCTTGGCCTGTCTTGGGGCCATCTTGGGCGTCTTGGAGCGCTCGTTTGGCGTCTCAGGGCCCTCGTGGGCACTCTCGGAGGCCTCCTGTGGCCTCGTTGATTCGTCTTGAGCCCATTTTGGATCCAAAACAGCTTCGTGAGTCGCTCGTCCCGGGCCCGGGGGGGGGGGGTGTCGAATCTCCGGTTTGGGGTCCCGGGGGGGGGGGGGTAGGGGGGGGAAATCACTCACACGCCTAGAGGCCCACAACTGGTCGGCGGATTATTGGAGGATGTCCTTTCTGTATTTACGAAATGCAACTCTGAAGAGCATTGAGGACCTGAGGACGTTCCTTTCAGCATAATCTCTTGACATGACTATGTATGCCATGATTTCCCGCACGCAGATCTGGACCTGGCCACCACTGTGACATCGTTCTCTCGTGTCCTTTGTCTCCGTGCCATCCTCAACCTAGCCGTTCGGATGCACTCGGTTGCCTCGTCCCGAGCACGCGGGTGCACCGCAATCGTCACCAACCACTCACGTCCCCACGGCCGCGTGGCAGCTACTAGCCGTGCTTTGCAGAGTGAAAGGAACTACTGCCGGGCGGGGCTAGGACGAGGATAAATGTTCCAGAGCGTTCCAGAACGCTCTCATGGCTCTCAAGGCGCTCCAGAGCGCTCTGAGAAGGCCGCGGCGCCCGAGACATCTTCCAGAGCCGCCGGATCTCACAGGTCCTCGAATTCGCCTCACCCGAACTCATCCTCGACCTGGCTTCGTCTTGTACTGTCGCCAAGGGGGTGGTCAGCGAAGGTGGGTGGTGAGACAGTAGGCGTAGAGAATCCAGCGTCAACGCCGACGATAGGCGGGACAACTGCGGGTTTAGCCACCGACGGGTCGGATGTATCAGGCTCCGCGGGAGGCGAAACCAGCCGTTGTCGCGAGGGTCGCGGTGTGTGAGAGGGGAGCGGCGGATACATCGGAGAATCGGGTAGAGATTGCGAAGATGGCCGCGCCTCGCGCCGCGCGGCCCGGGACAGGAGACACACTGGAGAGGCGCCCTCTCTCTCTCCAAGGCGGCGGCGCCTCGCGCCTCTCCGCGCGGCGCGCCTCGCGCCTCGCGCGGCCCAGCGCCAGCCGCCGCGGGGGAGGATATGCGGGCCGTGAGGCCAACAGGGCCCCCGGGGCTGCTCCGCAGCGCTCTCGCGCTCCCCTGGGGGGCCCCGCGGGCCCCGGGCCTGTCCGGAGCGAGCCGGCTCGGGATGAAGATCTCGTCCTTCGGGCGGGTTGCAACGGGGGGGGGACCCAGAGGGGGCGGGGGAACTCACCAGCCTGGAACATGTCCCTATCCCTATGATTGGCATCGCCTCATCTCGATGCCGATCTTAGGGATTCCCTCCGTTTCTGAAGGCGCATCCCTAAGAGTGTCGTAGACTTTGGGCTTGTTAATCTTAGGGATAGGGATACGTTCGAGGCTGGTTAGGAAGAAGGCCTCAACAGGGGCCCTCTAGGGCCCCTCTTACAGGGCGGGCGGGCTGCAATGGGAGGGCGCGGCAATCTCGCATTCAGCGCGCGCGAGGGTGTACGGTTTCACAGAAATGTGCCTGACAGCTCCTTGGCTTGCCCAGCAGCTCGAGTTCAGTTGGCATCGCGGAACATTCGCGATGGTTCCCCCCTTCCCAGAACACCAATTCCGCCTCTTCAAAGTCTGAGGAGGGGTGACCCAGATGGGGTGGGGAGGAACAAGGCCCTCACAGGGGCCCCCTAGTCGCACGCCCAGAGGTTGACACCAACACCAAGATCGGCGGTGTGCCTCAACCGAGGGATGAAGATCCCAATCTCGGTGATGGTGGTAGTATTCTGGCTTCCAAGGTGACCGAAATATTACCACCAACACCGAAATCCAGGATCATCTTCCCCCTGTGGAAACAACCCCCTGTTTTGGTGTTGGTGCCCATTTCCAGGCCTCCAATCTAGGGCCGCCCTGAGAGGCCCCTGCCGGCTCCGAGAGGGGCCCTGAAGGGCTCCCCCTTGATTATGCGGAACAAGCTATCCCCGTGCATGGCCGCGGCTGCCCCGATCGCCGCCGCACCGGCCTACCCGCCGCGGCGCCTTCTCCAACGCCGCCCGCCTGCAGCGGGCCACCCCCTCTGCTTCATGGCAACTCCTGCGAGACTGAGTTCGGCGTTGGCGCTGGCATATCCGTGGTCGAACAGGTGAGCGTTTTTGTTCCCTCCCCAGCGTAACGCTCGTTACCTGCGCCACCCCCCCTCCCTCCCCGGGTAATACTAATGATCGTATTGGGTGGGGGCCTGGGCCCCCCCTACATGCTGTAGCGCACGCAGGCGATTGACACGCCGGTGGTGCGGACGCACCCTGGCGGGGCATTTCCGCAGCCGCCGTTATCGCCACCCTCTCGCCCGACCCCCCCCCCCCAGGGTAACGACCGTTACCTGGGAGAGAAAGACACGCTCACAAGAAGACAAGCGCACAATACCGCACTCTGCCGCTCAATCCATTCAATGCCGTTTCTTCGGGCCTGATCTTGGGCTAGTCAGGATCAGTTGCCCCTTCATCGTGCTCAATTCGGCGGCGAGCGAGGGGGGGAGTGAGAAGGAGAAGGACTTCTCAGAAGGCGGCGGGGCTTCTCAGAAGCCCTCGCGCCTTTTGAGAAGTTTTCTGTGTCTTCGGGGAAGGCTTAGAACTTAGAACACCTCCCAGAAGGCCCGAGAACTTCCGAGCCTTTGAGAAGGCCCGCCCCTTGTCGCTTCCCCCTCGCGCTCGCCGCCGATCAGCAGCCCTCCATCCTCCCTCGCTCTTGCGACGGCCCTGGGCCCAGGAGAGACAACTGCAGCCGCGGGGCCGAGGGTACCGCCCCGCTGCGCCGCCCCTCCCCCCCCCACCCCCATAGGCCGACCCCGACCCTCGCGCGGCGACGACCTCCGCGCGGCACCCGTCCAGTGTCCTGCCTGTCGTGGTCCCGCCGACGTGCACACAGCAGTCTAACCCGCACAGAAAGGATGGGCAAGCTTCCCAAGCGTACCGTTGCGTCCTGCATCCTTTGCCTCCTCGGTCCATCCTTGGCCACTCCGTTGGCCGCGCCCTCCTCGAAGAACTCCGAAATGGGCTTCCAAGGCCCCTGCATCCTTTCGGGGGAGCGTAAGACCCGGGTTTGCCAGGACTCGGGTTCACCATCGTTTTTTGACGACCGCGCCTCGGATTTTGACGAGGAGGAGTTTCGTGAGATGTCTGCAGCGGGAGGCCTCGTCAAAATGCAGGCTCGGCCTCGTCATTTTTTTGACGACCTCGTCGGGGATTTCCGAGTCCCCTGTACCCAGGTCTTACGTCCCCCTGATCCTTATCGCGCATCCTCACTGTACGGGTTGACTGTGCGTGCTGATGCCTCTGTGTGCGTCGCAGCCCCCCCCCCTCCCAGGGGCGGCGCGCGCTCCGAGAAAGCTTGTAGTACAAGCCGCGTGGCTGGCGCTTTGGGGCCACACCGCTTGGGAAAACTATATACTGCAAGATGATTGCGGTAGGTTTGCGTCGTGTCGACCAGCGGCGACCCCAGCGCGGACGTTCAAGGTTGAACGCCGCCGGCGACCCAGAATCGATCGATGTTGAACGATCGGACGCTGCGGCAGCGGCCGATCGTTCAAGGTTGAACGATCCCTGCGGTGTCAAAAACCAACGCTGGGGTCGGCACGACACGAACCTGCCGTATTTGGTCGGGTCGGACGCGCGCCTCCGGAGATGGCACACAGTCCTAGTATGTCCGTGTGCGTCCCGATGTGCTCTGCTCGCGAGAAGACTTCCCAGGAGCTGCTTCCAAATGGGGCGTTCCAAAAAGGGGCCTTGAATTCGAGGATCGAAGGAGTTGCCACCTCGTCCTCGGCGGAAGGGCGGCGGGATGCGGCGGAAGTAAAACGAGGCCGCCTCTGCCGGCGGAAGGGCGGCACAAGGGCGGCGGAAGCAGGCGGAAGTAAAAAGTAGCCTTCCAAGAGATGACGACATGTTTGGGTTCAGGGTTTCCGAAATCCGCCAAATGTGCCGCCGGCTGAGGTACGATCAACTACATCACCACGCTCGGGCAGCAGGTCGTGCTCATGGTGCTCTCCGCCTCGATCTCGCTGCGGGACGTTGCGCATTTTTCCGCAGCGGCGCGGGGGGGACCCGCTCCGAGATGGGGCCTCCCCAGCCTCCTGCTCCCTCTCCTCCTGCTTCCCCCCCCTCCTCTTCCTCCTCCTCTTCTTGCTACCTTCCCCCCCAAGATGACTACAAGAGGCCTCCCGAGATGGCCCCCACGGTTAGATCTTCCGCCCCCCGCAGGGGGGCGGGGGAGAAGAAGGACGCAGAGGAGGAAGAGGTGCCGACACCGCTACTTTTCCCCGTTTTCGCCTGTCTGCGCCTCGCCCCGGCTGGATTCGCAGCGGAATGTTGGTCAGAACGCTCCCGGGGAGAGGCCCAGGGAGGAGCGGTATGGGCATCTCGTGGCTCCCGCACGGACGGGGAGGGGCGGGCGGCGGGGGGAAGCCGCATCGGCCGGAAGGGTCAGGGGCAGCGACAGGGGGGACAGGCCCAGGTCCGGCGACTGCAAAAACATGGATCAAGGGGGCGCGGATTAGCGACGGGTCACGTTTCCATGGGACATCGCGGATTTCCGTTGCCGAGCGAGGCGGCACCGGCCGCATTTTGGGGAGGGCACTTCCCCCGATCCATGGATCTTCGGGTATAGCCAGGACCCCAGCTAAGGGGACCCAGTTATTGGTAGGGCCAAATTGGCCAGAATCACAAAACCAGGTCTGCCGTAGCTGGTGTATTCCGGGTGACAGCAGTTCCAGTTAGTGGAACGGGGCGGGGGGGGCGTTTTCCGGTGCACATCATTAGACCGGGTCCCACTAAACCTAGTTCTGCCAACGCCCGAGATTTGGCGACCGCGCGCCAGCTCCACGGATCGCCAATCCATGTTTGCGCGCCCCCGATCATCGGGGGCCCCCAAACGGGGTGGTGACCACACCGTGCGGTGAGCCGGAGGGGATCCGGCGTCATCGCACGGCTTTGGGACTCGAGTCGTTCTCCGAGGACGTCTCGGGCAGCAGGGGCCTCCGGGGTCCCAAGACCGTGCGGGGACGGACCGTGCGGTGAGGTCGTTTGGGGGGAGGTCGAGGTCACCGCACGGTCCGTCACCGCACCGTCTCGGGACTCCAAAGATCAGGGGGGGGGGACGCGTCGGCCCCCAGTCGCCCCCGCATCACGGATGGGGGCCCGATCGCCCCGCCCCGCCCAGGAGCGTGCGGTTTCTTTTTCTCTCTCTCTCTCTCTCCCTCTCTCTCTCTCTCTCTCTATCTATATATATATATATATATATATATATCGGTGGCCTGTCGCCGACCTGTCGGCGAAGTGGTGCTGCCGAGTCGAGCGCGTTCCTTTATTCGCAAAAAAACATCCCAAAATCACATGTCTGCTTTGATGCAATTCATCGTAGATCCCCTGATGCGGATCCATGCCATTTGCGAGTAGCTACTTTGCGAGTAGTGGAGCGCCCTCGTCTAAGAAAGCTAGGTGCGGGAGTTGGTCTGCCAGCGTCCCCCTCACCTGACCACCCGTTTTACCAGGCCCGAGGAAGGGGTGAGGGGAGGGGAGAGGGGAGGGGGACAAGCTAGGTGCGTTCGCGTCATATCTGACGTCCTGCCCCTCCCTCCGATCCCTTGCCATGGCGTAGATCTCCTCTCTACTCACACAATCGGATATCACAACATGGCATAGCATTACATGACAAAGCATGGTGTTGAAGTTCAACGCGTAGCATGACATAGCATGACGTGGCGACGCCCCACAGTTGGGGGGGGGCTTCTGCGGCCCAACAAATCAACAAAGCGCGGAAATGAGGCCAGCGCTGCAGCGGGAGCACGATTCGGAACGAGCGGTAGCCCGAAAATGAGGTCAGCGCTTCAGCGAGAGCAGCATTTTGAAAAAAAAGCGCGAAAGCGCAGGAATGAGGACACGTGGCCTGACATAGCATTTGGTGGCGACGCCCCGAAGTGGGGGGGTTCTGCGGCCCAAAATATCAACGAATCGGCACGGAATGTGTTATCACTTCCGATGTTTTTTTTCGGGTGGGCATTTTGTTTATGTTGGGGCCGATGTGGACGGACCGAAAACCACGCCGTGGCATGGCATTGGAAATAATGACGCCAGCGCTGCAGCGGGAGCACGATTCGGAACGAGCGGAAGCGCGGAAATGAGGCCAGCGCTGCAGCGGGAGCACGATTCGGAATGAGCGGTAGCCCGAAAATGAGGCCAGCGCTTCAGCGAGAACAGCATTTTTGAAAAGAACAGCGAAAACCCGTTTCCCGGCAGTCTTGTGTGTCAAATGCAGTACGCGGAGGTGGGCCGAACATTTCCCGGACGCCACCAGGGAAGAGATGAGAGTAGTATCTATATTGTGTAATTGTGGAGGGGGGGAGGGGATGGGAGGGCAGGGGAGGGGAGGGGAGGAGGGGAGGGGAGGATGTTCTTTCCTTCTCCACACGGTGCAGCGGACAGGAGGGGGAAAGGGGGAGAGGAGGACGAGAACGAGGAGGAGGAGGAGGAGGAGGAGGAGGAGGAGGAGGAGAAAGCGGAGGAGGATGAGCGGGAAGGTCCTGCTCACCTTCTCCACCGCCTCTTCAAGATCCGGAGGCGGCGGTCTTTGATGAGTCTCTTTATTCTGGCAATCACAAACATGGATCAGGGGGCGCGGGTTGGCGACGGGTCCCGTTTCCATGGGACATCGCGGACTTCAGCCGCCGAACGAGGCGGCACCGGCCGCATCTTGGAGAGGGCAGCTCCCCCGATTCATGGATTCGGTGACCGCGCGCCTGACCCATGGATCGCTAATCCATGTCTGCGCGCCCCCGATGTTCAGAGCGTGAATTACCTACCCCGTTTTCGCTTCCAGGCAAAACCAAGTCATACCACGCGCCTCCTCGTCAGGCGGCCTCACCAGTAAAGGCCGTGGTTTGGCATCGCCTGGTATCTCTTGGAAGCGAGGGTGGTCAAAAGCGAGGCAGGTTTGTTTGCCCCCTAGATGTAGATGCACTGGAGAGCAGGCAAACTGTCGGAGGCCCGCGCGGAGTTCTCGGGATCGGTGCGGAGGCCCAGCCGGCGGCGCCTCCGGGCGGGCGCCGCCCCGGGATCCCAGGAGGGGAAGAGGCCCACGGGCACACGATGAATCGTCGATCCCTGGGGAAATTTAGGCAAAATATGGGACATGGGGGGGAGACAAAAACCCAGAACATATGGGAAAGTGTGGGGAATCCGGTTATCTGTGTGTGTTCATTTGTGTGTCCCAGGGCCCCTTCACTGGAGCGCTCCGCGCGCCAGGGATGGGGTCCAGCACCGGTCCAAGAAAGTCGCGTGGACCTCAGAGATACATTGTTCATCAGTTGTTGTCGTCCTTTAAGCCAAGGCGATCAAAATCGACGAGTCAGGCCAGCCCGACGGCAACGAGTGAGGCTTTTTCGTCCACCATCTGGGTGGGCATTCTCAGAGCTTCAGCTGGGAGTTGGTGGCTCGCGAGACTAGCTGAGAATATGTGACGTGAAAGCGTCGAGAAGCTTTCTGAAGACACCTGCATTCGGTTTTGAGAGGTCTCCGTGGGCCCGCGATGGATCTCCTGCGAGTTGTCGCCTTTGGGCTTGGTGTACGAGTGGATCTGGGCAGACCTCATGCGATGACTCAGGATGCCGTCCCAGCTTCTCCAATTCACGAGTAGCGTGAAGATGCATTGGGAGGAGGAGAGGGCCGAGAATATGCGATACACAATCAGAGGATACTTTTGTTGGTGCAGAGACTCTTTTGCAGTGTGGAGTGCAGTGCCTCACGTGATGCTCCCCTCTTTCCCCGCTTGCCGTGCCCACCCGCTGCCGAGGACGACCTCCAAAGAAGAAAGGCCGATCGCGACGTCAACGGCTCCAGGGCTGAGGCGTCCCGAGCTGGATTGCGGGGAGGAAGACGACGACGCTCGTTTCAAATACGAGGGGTGGTCTGGCGTTGGCTTCTACTGGCACTCGTCTTCCGCGCACCGGCATGATGTCATGGCGACAGAATGGTGTATCGTGCGAGTTGTGAGTGATGTGTGCGTTTGGAGTTTCATATCCTGGTTTCGCGAGTGCATGCCCAGTTCGCGCTTGCGCGGTGAGGGCAGGTTTCGACAAGCATGTGGCGATCATGTCAGCAGAAGCCCAGGTGGCTCATCGGCCCTGAGCTGACATGGACTGGGCAACCTGAGAGCTCGGAGGATTGCCGTGAGAGCCGCTCGGTTCCGCAGGCCCCAGGGCCCCCTCTTCTCCTGGCGGCGCCCCTCATTCTCGTCCTCGCTCCCCCTCGTTCGGGGCCGCCAGAAGGTGCCCCTGGCCGAAGGTACCCCACGTTTTCGCTCAGCTATGGAGCACCTGGGGCCCTGTGGGCCTCGTGAGGGGGTGCTCTGGACGCCGTGGGGGCCTCCTTTGGACATCCCCGGGGCACCTTGGGCCATGGGCATGTCTGGTTCTCGCTCGCCCCTCCGATCCTCTCCCCCCCCATGCGGCCCCTCCTCTCCCTCCTCTCGGAGGCGGATAGACCTCCTACCCTGACACGTCGATTGAGGAATTGGCCGTTTTCGGTTCGCGAGAGGGCGTCGTGGCCGTCATTTTTGCAGGTCCAGGTCCGTCGGTTTCGGTCCCAGGCCGTTTTCACTAAGGGGAGGTTTACTAAAGGGAGGTTAGTCCACCGCCGATCCTCCTCTCGCGCCTCCTTCCGCTTGGCTGCCTCGCTCCCCCTCCCCCCGCGGAGGGGCAGCAGACAGGAGCTCGCGGAGGGGGAAGAGGGGGAGTCTCCTGCGGGCCCGCGCGTCGGAGACGGGCGCGAGGTCGTGCCTGGCTGGAGGGGGCGGGGGGTGGGAGGAAGAGAAGGAGGAGGCAAGAGGAGGCAAGATGAGGCAATAAGAGGAGGAGGAGGAGGAGGAGGAGGAGGAGGAGGAGGGAAGGAAGAAGATGAGGCGGAGGCGGAGGCGGATGATGCTATGCTGCTGCTGTTGTTGTTGTTGTTGATGCTGATGATGATGATGATGATGATGATGATGATGATGAATGCTGCAGATGCTGATGCTAATACTGATGCTGATGATGACGATGCTGATGATGATGCTGATGCTGATGATGATGATAATGATACAGATATGATGATGATGATGATGATGATGATGATGATGATGATGATGATGATGATGATGATGATGATGATGATGATGATGATGATGATGATGGTGATGCTGATGCTGATGCTGATGCTGATGCTGATGATAATGATAATGATGATGATGGTGATGGCGATGGTGATGGTGATGGCGATGGTGATGGTGATGGTGATAATGGTGATAATGGTGATAATGGTGATGCTGATGGTGATGCTGATGGTGATGCTGATGCTGATGCTGATGCTGCTGCTGATGCTGATGCTGATTAAGAGGATGAGGATGAGGAGGAGGAGGAGGAGGAGGAGGAGTTGGAGGAGGAGGAGGAGGAGGAGGAGGAGACGGAGGGGGGTGGCTCCTCTTCCTTCTCCTCCCCCCTCCTTCTCCTCGTCCTCCATTCCTGTTCCTTATACGTGACTCCTCGCTGTCGCGCCCCGCGGCCGGTCGACCGGGCGGGCCTAGCGTTTCGCCGGAGACTTCCTCAAAATTCATGACCCTGGAACTTAAACATTGGCAACAGTTTCACAGATGAAGGGCGGCTGGCTTTCAACATGTGGCTCTCGCTTTAGCGCCGCGCACATTCGTTTTCACACTCTGCAAGAGTTTCACGGATTGAGGGTGGTTCGTGTTCGAAATGTGGTTCTCGCCTTAGCGCCGCGCACGTTCGTCTTTACAGTTTGCTGGAGCTTCACGCATGGATGGCGGATGTTTTCAACGTGTGGTTCTCGCCTTAGCGCCGCGCACATTCGTCTTAAACAGGTGCGAGAATTTCACGGATGGAGGGCGGGTGGTTTTGAAAATGTGGTTCTCGCCTAGCGCTGAGCACATTCGTCTTAAACACAGTTGCAAGAGCTTCACGGATGGCGGGCGGGTCGTTTTCAACATGTGATTCTCGCCCCAGCGCCGCGCACATGCGTTTCTAAACATTTGCCAACGTAGGGCGTTTCGTTTTCAACATGCTCTCGCCTTAGCGCCGCGCACCTTCGTTCTCAACATTTGCAAGAGTTTTACGCGCTCCCATGGTCAACGAACGTACCAGAAATGATCTTCGGAACGGGCGCAACAGTTAAATTGATATGCGGTGTTGAAGTCATGGTGTTCTGGCACGATTCAGGATCGTCAAGACGCAACAGTCACGCGGATTCTTGGCGGTGGAGTCCCGAGAAGGGTGTTTTGGCATGCTTCAGGGTCTTCAAACGGTTGTATCCCCACGGGGCGTTTCCTTCAGTGGAGATGAATCCTAGTTGTAGGGGCCTATGAAGAGGGAGCTTGGACGGAGGGTTTATGCTGACATCGTTGTGGAATTTTGGATTTGCACTGGCCCCCCTCCTCCTCCTCCTCCTCCGCGTCCTCTTGCCTCCTCCTCCTCCGCGTCTTCTTGCCTCCTCCTCCTCCTCCTCCGCGTCATCCTCTGCCTCCTCCTCCGCGTCCTCTTGCCTCCTCCTCCTCGCCCTCCCCGTCGGGATGGCCACGCCGTGGATCCCGGGGCGCCCACGGCGGCAGGCCGTCAGCGGCACCGTAACGGGTAGTCACTAACGGGTACTTTGGAGATGTGCCGAAAGTTGCCGCTTGAGGGCCTCTTTCTGGCATTGCAGCGTTGCCCACATCGGGGAGGGTTCGGTTCACCGGGCCACTGGCCAAAGTACCCGTTGGTGGAGTCCCCGTTAGAGGGGCGCCCACAGCGGCAGGCCGCGACGCCCGGCCGCAGACTCGGTGGCGGCGGCCTCAGTGGCGGCGGCGGCGGCGCGCAGGCCCGGCTTCGGCCACGGCTCGGTGCTGCCTGACCTGGCCGGCGGTGTGGGTCCACGGGCGTAGTTTCTCCTCCTCCTCCTCCTCCTCCTCCTCCTCCTCCTCCTCCTCCTCCTCCTCCCCCTCTTCCTCCTCCCCCTCCCCCTCCCCCTCCTCCCCTCCTCCTCCTCCTCCTCCTCCTCCTCCTCCTCCTTCTCCTCCTCCTCCTCCTCTTCCTCATCCCCCTCCTCCTCCTCCTCCTCCTCCTCCTCCTCTCCCCTCCTCCTCCTCCTCACTCCTCCTCCTCCTCCTCCTCCTCCTCCTCCCCCTCCTCCTCCTCCTCCTCCTCCTCCTCCTCCTCCTCCTCCTCCCTCCTCCTCCTCCTCCTCCTCCTCCTCCTCCTCCTCCTCCTCCTCCTCCCACCGTAGCCATTTTGGCTCAAGTCGCAATCTGCGGAATCCCCGCCCCTCGAGGGGCATCAGCGCCGACTTCCGAAAAGCCTGCTCCCGACGCTGCACCATTCAGCGGCCCGCAGGCTTCACTGATTTTGGCCACTATTACATTCCTCTTCCCGCACCCGCGCAGGCTGCCGCCATGGGTAAGGGCTCTTATTCTTGTTGCTCTAAGCGTGGCTGCCGTGGTTGGGAATGGGCTCCCAAGAAGTGGTGTTCTCTGTGTGGGTCCAGCCTCAAGCAGGATGGCTCCAAGGGTGACAAGGCAGATGGCGACGCTTTCCGTCCTAGAGGCCCGCGCAGAGGCGGCTCCCGACCGCCACCTCAGGCCGCCGTTGCTGAGGCGGCAGAGGAGGCACCCAAGTCCCAGGAGGGACCGCCTGATCCAGTGGCGTTGGCTCAGGCACAGGTTTCATTCTGGCGCAAGTGGGTTGGAGTCGACAAGAAAGAATATCTCGACGCAGTTGAGTACCTCAAGCAAGCGAAGATGCAAGCGCTCAGGGGCAAGAGTTTGGACCAGCAGACTCAATCGCTCACGGGCCAAATCAATGCCATCAAGAGCAAGCTCGCCAGCTACGAGACCGAGCTCGAAGATTTGGCGTCCTCGATCGAGAAGATGGCAGACGAATACAAATCGAAGTTGCATGACCAGGCTGAGGCTCGTGAAGAACTTCAGATGCTGGAAGCGCAGCGTGCAGTGGCAGCGTCAGCAGCAGCACAGGAGGTGGCAGCAGACTCCAACGTGCAAGGTCTGCTCAGCGCCGCCCTTCAGTCCAAGATTCCAGAGGGAGGTTGCATCCCGCCCGCGCTCACGGCCAAGGTGCAGGAGGTCGCCGAGCTGTTCGACCAGCTTCAGCAGCAGCACCTGGCAGCCATGGGGGCGCAGGCGGGAGGCGACAGCGGCGGCATCGGGGGGCCACCGCCAGCGCCTGGCGCGGGTGCGGCAGGCCTCGGCGGATCGCCATGGCCTGGGCCCCCCTCCGCCGCCGCAGCCCGTGGCGTGCCCGCCGCCGAGCGAGATGCAGCTGAGACGATGTCGGTCGGCAGTGGAGAAGCAGTGGCAGTTCGTGATCTACATGATGAGGAGATGCCCCACAACTTTGCAGGCCATCGGCGCACAGCCGAAAGCCTGTCGCAGCTCTCCGAGCTCATGGCCTCCCACGGCACCGATGACGAGAGGGCCAAGAAGGTGCGCGGTGCCGCGGCAGCTGTGCAGGCCGCGGCCTCAGGGGCGCCGACGCCGTCTCTTCAACAAGCTCGGCATCGTCACGTTCAACGGGAGCTGCTGGCCCACGTTCAAGCAGTTCATCAAATCTCGTGCTGCCTGTGACTGTTCTTTGATTTGTGTCCAGGAACACAAGCTCAGAGATGGGGATGTCATTTCGCAGCAAGTTCAGTGGTGCCAATCAATGGGTTGGTTGGCGCATATCTCACCAGCAGCACTCAATGACAATGAGCAGATTGTAAGCGGTGTTGCCATTCTAGTCAGAGCCAACCTCGACATTGGCATATCCAACATGAGTTTCAGGAGCACAGTGGACCGTAGTCGCTTAACTGGTCTACTTTTGGAGCTCCCTGGCCTACCTCGTCTAGGGCTCATGTGCGCGTATTTTAAAGCAGCTGGCGGGCTTGGAGAAGTCAACCTAGGCCTGTTAGCAGACATCGCCGTCCAGCAGGATCAGGAGCGGGTCCCGATCATCGTTGCTGGAGATTTCAACTTATCGCCGTCCAGGGTCGAGAGCCTCGATTACCTCCACAGGGCCTCCCTTCAAGTGGTTGCCCCATCGAGCCCAACCTTCCGTGTGAAGAAAACTCAATCGGTCTTGGACTATTTCATTATCAGTAAGACGCTCAGTGAATATGTCGACAAGGCCCGCACGTGGGCCAATTATCCGATGTCTCCCCACAGGCCAGTGTGTCTCGACCTCTCGGACTCCGACAGTTTCATGATCCCAGTGTTGGTTCGGCCGCAGAGGTTGCCGTCAACACGGCCGTTCGGGCCTCAGCCCCAGCAGCTGGCCTGGACTCAGAGTGCAAGCGCACTTGACTATGCAGATGAATTACTAGCTGATGCCGCCAAGCCTCTCAGCCAGAAGCAGAAGCAAGCAGTACTAGACGTCGTCTATTTCACGGTCGTCAAAGATTTGGAGCAGACTATCAGCCGAGCAACGGACACTCCGCTGAAGCACTCCTCTACTCCAAGAGCCAGCCCCCCTATCATCAAATGGGTAAGAGCCAAGCACAAAGACGCTAAAGCTAGATCATGCTGGAAATCCCTAGAAGCACCTCTACGTTGGCTACGCAATAGGCTAACGAACATCAACTACAGCATCCATCATCAAGATCATCAGCAACTAGTATTTGGCGTCGCCGGGCTGCAAGATGCTCCAGAAGTGTTTCAAGAGGTCGAGAGCCTCAAGCAGGGGCTCCTCGCCTCCCAGCGGCTCGGCGAGCTGCTGATCTCCGACAGTGCAGCAGGTGCGCTAGCAATGGGCACAGCCGACGACGCCATCGGGACCCTGATCGAGGACTTGGACAAGTCCATCGATTCGGAGAGGGGCAAAAGCAATCTGGCGGCCTCTAAGGCCTGGGCTTCCTGGGTGCAGACCTCACTGCAAGGCGGCGTTGGCTGGGCACATCGCTGGACGCGCAATCTTGAGGCTTGGAAGCCCGCTTCTACCTTTCACCGCGGCCAGTGGTCAGGCAGGCCGTCGAGAATTCTGGAGGGGGAAGCTGAAAGACTTGCCAGCATCTGGGATACGGAAATGAGGACCCAACCCAATCCTGTTCCTAGTCATATCGACGATCGCGTCGCTCTGGGCCTTCTCACAGGTGAAACGGTGCAAGCAGCCGCCAAGAGCTTCCCCCCCCAGAACAGCCTCGACCTGGGACGGAGTCCATCCGAGGCACTTCCTCTTGCTTTCAGAACTGCAGGCGGATCTCATAGCTCGGCTCATCCTGGTCATAGAATGCCTGGGGTTCATGCCGTCGCAGCTGCAAGCTATCATCTCGGTCCTCATCATGAAGCACAAGCAACAGGATAAGACAGCAACAAAGCCAGCTATGAGATCCATAGGAATGATGTCAGGCCTCTATCGTACGTGGGCGCGCATTCGTCAGTCAGCTGCTCGCGAATGGGAGAGGCATCACAGGCGACCCTTTCTCGCCCACCAAGCAGGACATTCGATAGTGGAGCTCGTTTTCAAGCAGAATCTGGATTGCGAAACCTACTCTAATAAGAGCGAAGCCTTTGTGTCTGGTATGGTTTTGTACGACCTCAGTAACTACTACGAGCACGTCAATAGAAGCAAGTTAGCCAAGCGAGCCCTTAGAAGTGGTTTCCCTGCTACCCTCTTAAGGCTCATCATCAGCATATACTCGAGTCCTAGGTTCGTCGCCCTCCAGGATATGATCGTCTATGTCGGTTGTACTAAGTACGGTCTAGCTGCAGGGTGTGGGTTTGCTACTTATCTCATCCAGATGTACACCCTGGAACCCATGGACTCCTGGACCGACCAGAACCCCTTCCTCGACCTTTTCATGTTCATTGATGACCTCCTCTTGAAGTCTCACAGCCAGAAGCCCAAGGTCGTGGTCAGCAGCCTCGACTTGGGCACCCGCCGTTTGCTCGCCTGTATCAAGCAGGATTTGGACTGCAGCATCTCGCCAGCCAAGACGCAGATGGTAGCCTCGACCCCGCAGCTCAGATCTCTCTTGAAGAAAAAGCTAAAGGATCGTGCAGGCACCAATTTGGACATCTCAGCCCCCAATCTCGGAGTGGAAACCGCTGCAGGGGCCCCCCAGTGCCGATGGCGAAAGAACAGGCTGACCAGGACGAGGATGGAGCAGATCAAGAGAAGGATGAGGAGGTTGGGAGCCATTCAGAAAGGAGGAGGTGACACGAGGAAGGTTTACAACACGGGGATTTTTGCAGCAACATCCTTTGGACACGAAGTGACGGGCCTTAATAATTCGCAACTAGCAATTGCCCAGCAACAATATTTAAAGCTAGCAGGGCCCAAATGTGCTACTAGAAGCAGAACTTTAAGCTTAATCCTAGTGGGTGACCCCACCTGGAAGCTCGCCCTTGGACCTGCCATGCTGTGGCATATGCTTGTGTGGAGTGCCGCCACCAATTCGTGTCAATCGCTGGCCTCGCTGAGAGCTCTCAAGGCCCGCGGGGAGAGCCTTTTGGGCTCCACGCCTCAGAGGTGGGCGGCCGTTCGGGGGCCCTTCGGGGCCATGATTTTGTCTCTCAAACGAATTGGGTGGAGTCTGGCCTCCCCTCTCGTTTTTGTTTCTCGCAGTGGCCTGCAATACCCCATGACCAGCTACTCTCCTGCGTTTGTACAGCAGCTCATGCAGGCTGACTGGTTCAATATTTTGAAAGAGAAGGCTGCGAGCAAGCTTGGTGCTCCAGGTGCTAGGCTAGACCCTGCAGCTGCCCTCGCCGCCTTGAAAGATCTGTCGCTTTCGAAGCAGGAGCGAGGCTGTCTCTTGACGTTTCTTACCCAAGGTTGCTGGACAAAAGCTCGAGCCAAGGATGCAGGCTATCCCGTCGACCCCGTCTGCCCCTGTGGTGCCGAGTCTGATGATATCAAGCACCGCGTTTTCGGCTGCGAGCTGTCCAGGAACGAGCGTGAAGAATGTTTCAGTCCAACAGA